GAATTATTCTATATGCTTCTCTAATTATTTAAAGCAACATAGAAGAATATAATTACAATGAATAAGGAATGACATAACTTTGGTGAGTGATTTTATATATATACACACACACGCAAAAATGTATATGTATAATTTACATTCCATATAGTGTAATATATATATAAAATATAAAATATGTAATATATACTATATCCATAATATATATTAAAAGTATATGTAACTATATATAACTAAGTATCTAGAATAGATAACTTTGAATATAATTGCATATATATTTTATGTATATATATGTGTGCATATATATAAAATCACACACCAAAGTTATATATAAATAAAATAATTTATAAAATATAACAATTTACATACATTACATTTTATATATTAATGATACAAATATAAAAGTCTGGCATTACTGGTAAGTATCAGTAATGAATAGAGATAATTTGAGGTCAAACTATGCAGCTTATAATCTTCTGCCCTTAATAACTTTAGGTCTGAAATAGTTGACCAATTTGCTTTTCGTTATTGTCCATGAACTCCTTTTGGGGTTTTACTCCCCTAAAGGGACATCTAGGGAGACGGAGGGAAAAGGAGGGAGATGCTCAGGCAAAGGCTGAGGCAGAAGCGTCACAGAAATGCCCGTCACGGTGTCACCCGCACCTCGTGTGGGTGCCGGGCTGCGATCCGGTGGTGCGGCTGTTCCCCACACGAGGACAGCGGTCAGGGCTGAAGTCCGATGCAGACAGACATGCCCTTGTTCATGTCTGCACCTACAGAGAACAGGGCGCCTTTTCTCATTCACACGACAGCACGCTATGGGCAACCATGGCCCAACTGGTAGAAGTACACTCTTCCCACCCGGGCGACATCGAGTCTAAAATTACACACGCAGAAAGACACGCTGCTGTGTTAATCCTTACCTTTTCTAGGTGCTCTCTTTTAACATCCAGTGTGGAGCAGTTTAATTGGTACCTTCTTGGGTCATTAGAATAGGCATCAAATGAATTTACACAGAGGAATCCCAAGGAAAGCAGTGAGAAAAAGAAAGAGGGGCTGCAAGCAGACTCACCATCCTTGGATCTCCTGAGCATCTGAGCATCTGGATTGTGGCCACATCCCATTAGCCATTTGCTTTCTATTTGATTTAAAGGACGAAGCGCCGGCACTTGAGAATTAGCGCTATGATTAAAACATCCCTAGAATCTTCTCAATTCAGAAATGATATAGGGACAGGACTCATGTCCAAGGCTCATACAACTACAGCTCCTAAGACTGTAGTCAAGAGAAATTTTATACCTGTACTTCCGCCATCATTCAGTTGGCAAGGCCTCCCCTGCCCAGTTCTCATCAACTGCATACCACAAGGCAATCAACGGAGACAAGAGAATTTCAGTCCTGCTTCCTGCTTGGCTGCTTATGGCTACATTTTAGCTTATTTAAAATTTTTTAGCTTCATTTTTGAACTCGGTATGACATGGACTTTGTACAACCCTACAGATTACCTCAACTCGCCTCTAATGTAGACCGTGACCGAAAGCCAGGCTTATAGAGTTGACAGTGTTCTGTTGAAGAAATCATTCATCTAAGGCAACAGCAAAGATTTATTGAGACTTGGCAAAGTCCTGCCAGTCCATTCTTCACTGCCCACCTCGCTCCGGAAGATAAGACATCCTTTCAAAGACAAAGAAGACTCAGAGTGTTATTTCACTTGGAACCTCATGATGGAGAACTCAATATATTTGAACACCCACCATAGCATTTGTTCATAATTATTTTACACTTCTTTCTTGTGTTTTTTTTTACCTTTCATAACAGAATTAGAGGATAAAATGACATTATGTGAAAATAAAGCTCTCAGGAGAAAGGAGTCTTGAAATTTATTTCTCTGCGTTCTGAATAACTGCAAGACTATGGGCAAATCAATTTACCTTCTTGAGTATCTGGGGTTTTTTTTTTATTTATAAAATAAGACTATTGAACTAGACCAAATGTAAGCTCACATCCAACCATAAATGTACCATCTGGAAAATAATGAGTTACTCAGAGTTATTTCTAAATCAAAACATGAGATTATTTCATAAACTGTAGAATTAGTCTGTAGAGTCTCAGACTTTATTTATTTAAAATAGAAAGAGAAGCAAAAAGAGGGAGGCACTAGGTATGTTTAGGGCCTCCTGAGTCTAAGAAAGCTAATTACACAGTCTGAAGGAAAAGGGGGATGTTTTGGGAGGATCCCCCTGTGTTTACAGAGGACTAGAGCTACTGCCAGATCTCAGGTTCAGAGTTAGGCATCTACGTAATCAGCGGAGACTTGATGCTGTTTCCAAAACCCAGCGCCAAGTCTCCAGGGGAGACAAGCAACTTGACCCAACTTGGGTCAGCGTTCTGGACAGTCAGCTATAACCAGATCACTGGGGTCATCTCCAACAAACACTTCCAGTGACCCTGTATGAGGGGGCAGTTCTCAAAAAAAGAAGCCACAATGTGGGCAGATATACAGAACTCTATCAGCAGAAGGGCCTGGTTGTCATCCCTTCTAGCTATAGGACCCCCAAAGTTTGGCCATTTAAGTACGTAAGAAATATTGCCTTAGGTTTTCGTTCTTGGCTACCCAAGGAAATCAACGTGTAAATAACTCTCTCCTCTACAGCAATACACTGATTAGGGCGCCGCCCATCGAAGGGACCATTGTGGTCCCACGTCACAGCACCAGGCAGGGATGGAGGGACAGCTGGGACAGTCTGGTGCCGAACAGAGACACTCGGAGCCTCTAACTGACACGTATGGGAACTCTGGTAGGGCATCAATAATTCAGACCTGACGACAAGGGCTGGCGTGTAGACAGGGGCCTCATCACTTATTCAGGTCTTTTTTTACTTACTCATGTAGAGGCTACAAAAAAGGATGCAGCAACCAGTGAAGAAAGAGAGCGCCGCCCTGCATGGCAAGGGAGCAACCCTCGTGGAGAGGGTAGTGGGCCTTGAAGCCTCCCGACGGGCTGGACACCAAAGCCTCGTGTTTCGAAGGATCTGTTTATCCCTGTTTAACATTTGCTTGTACCATAAATTGAGACCAACTCTTACTGCTACTTTGTTTTATAAAACCACAGACATTTAGAATGGAATGACTCCTGAGAAAGGATCAAGAATGTTTTGTTGTACTTGAGAAAGAACGTTCTGGAGAACTGAAGCAAATTCCAAAAAAAAAAAAAAAAAAGAAAAGAAAAGAAAAAACTCAGCTGGTTTGTAAAAGTCCTAAGACTGGAACTTAAGTTTGGCAGAATCCCCCCTCCCCGCCCTGCCAACTGAACTGCATAGGCACAGAATTCAATTAATTATACTGCTTGGTTTGTATGACATTCTCATTATTCTTCACTAACTAAACATTTATTTAATAATAATATAGTAAGAGCCTGGGAACCCATCATCCCCCAACAGAGCGAGGTCCCTGGCAACCACATATTAAGCTTACGGTGCTTCTCACCTCGCTCCCTCCCTCCGCAAAGGGGCAGCTGTCGGCCTGAGTCCTGAGTTTCCTTGACAAACTTTCTGTCGCTTCCAAACATGTAGATGAAGTCCCTAAAGAGAATATAATTATAGTTTCTTAAGGCTGATCGTAGGTATATCATGCCGTGATTAACTTAATACTACATTACTAAGGTTCATCCACGTTGTTGGAAACGCTTTTCCTGGCCGACGGCGTACTGGTCGCTCGCTCACAGGAGGCTGCTGGACGGTCTGGAAGCTCTGCTGCTGTGTGAATATCCCTGTGACTGTTCCGTGTTCTAACGGTGCAGGGGTTCCCAAGGGGTGTGCACGTCACAGAGGTGGCTCGGTAAGAGACGGTACAGATGTTCGGCTTTGCAAAGGAATGATGCATCGGGTCCCGAAGTGGCAGCGCTGATGTGCACTCCCGTGGTGACCGTGTGACATCCCGTAGGTGGAGTTCATCGGAGGTCAGAGGCTTTGCTCTACGGGGCAGGGCAGCCAGCATGTCAGGCTGGAGGCAGCTCTCCCTCTGCTGCTGTGGGGGAGCCACAGAGGGCCACGCGCCAGCAAGCAGGCGTGTGTTCCGACAGCGCTTGTTTTATGGGCGCTGAGACTGGAAATCCATAAATTCTTCCCGTTACAAAATGCTGCTCTTCCTTTGTTGGTTTTTTTTTTTTTTCAATCATTTAAAAGTGTAAACAAACATTCTTAGTTCGTGGGTTGCACAAAAACAGAAGGCAGGCGGTTGACGTCTTCCATTCCTCTCCCTTCCGACCTGATTTTCTCCTGTCTTTTTTCTATTTATTGAGAAATGTATCGATAAAACTTCCTATGTGCCGTGCACTGTGCCACATACTGAGGATTCTGTCCGTAAATGGAGTGCGTAACGATGACGTGGGATAGGCGTTACCAAGGCAGGCCGGGCAGGCGGATGTGGTGATAGGAGCTCAGGCTTTAGACAGAAGGGTCGGGAAAGGCTGCTGATAGAATGACATCTGAGCTAAGCTCTTACTTTTATTTTATTTTTCAATTACAGTTGGCATTCAATATTATTTTGTATTAGCATCAGGGCCACAGCATAGTGGTTAGACAATCATATGACTTACAAAGTGACCCCCCCCCATAATTCTGGCACCCACCTGCCACCACCCACAGCCACCGCTGTATTATTAACCCTGTTCCCTGCGCTGGGCTTCGCTTCCCTGTGACCGCCTTGTAAGTACCAACTTCTCGGTCCCTTCGCCTGTTTCACGCAGCCTCTCGACCCCCCTTCCACCTGACACCCCTCAGTGTGTTCTCTGTACTCATGCCTCTGTTTCTGTTTCGTCTGTGTATTTTGTTCCTTAGATTCCGCACATAAGTGACGGCATATAGTATTTGTCTTCTCTCTGTCTGACTTATTTCCCTGAGCATAATGCCCCCTAGGGCCACGCATGCTGTCACAAACGGTGGGATTTCATTTTGTGTGTGTGTGTGACCCGGTAACAGCCCATAGTACCATTTTTTTTTTTTTTTTATCACCAGCATTTATAAAACCAGACTTAGGGAAAGAAGCACTAGGTCTGGGGACACATGCATGGTTTTTTTAATATAGCGAATGGTTAGCCTGCCCTGATTATTACAAAATCAGAACAGCGAGAATATTCGCAGCCGTAGTACCACTTCTTTATCTCACTGTCTACTGATGGGCACTTGGGCTGCTTCCAGACCTCGGTGATTGGGAATAAGGCTGCAGTGGGTATAGGGGTGCATATATCTTTGCAAATTAGTGTTTTGGATGTTTTTTTCAGATATACACCCAGAAATGGAATTGCTGGGTCGTAAGTTCTCTTTTTACTTTTTCCACAGTGGCTGCACCAAACTGAAATTCCACCAGCAGTGCACGAGGGTTCCCCTTTCTCCGCATCCTTGCCAACACGTGTTTGTTGATTTATTGGTGACAGCCATTCTGATAGGCGTGATGTGATATCTCATTGTGATTTTAATTTGCATTTCCCTGATAATTAGTGACGTTGACGATCTTTTCATATGTCTGTGGGCCACCTGTATGTCCTCTGTGGAGAAGTGTGTAATCAAATCCTCTGCCCATTTTTTAATTAGATTGTTTTCTTCTCTCTTTTTTTGTTGTTGTTCTTGTTGTTGAGTAGTATGAGTTCTTTATAAATTTTGGATATTAACCCCTTGTCATATTTATCCTTCGCGTTGAACTCTTATATTTTAATGAGGGATTGAGACATACAAATATCTGAGAGGAAACTATTTCAATCAGAGAGAATAGCAAATCTATACACCTCCTCTGAACTTCATATTCGTATACCTAACACCATGCTGGACACTTCTTCCCAAATGTGCCCCAGGCTCCTCTGACTCCATTTGCCAACCTGAATTAATCACCCATGACCCCCTGGGATTTCCCAACTTGGGGACAGGTGTCTCTGTCAACTCATCATCCCAATCAAAACCTTTTGAGTTTGCTTGCTTCTTTTTTCCCCTTTTCTACCCAAAGCATCTATTTAGCCCCCAAGTACTTTTATTCTTATTTCTTTAGTATCTGCATAAGTTTGCTAGGGCCACCATAACAAAATACTGCAGACTGGGTGACTTAAACAGCAGAAATTAATTTTCTCACAGCTCTGGAGGCTGAGAGTTCGAGATCAAGGCATGAGCACGGTGGGATTCTTCTGGGGCCCCTATCCTTGGCTGGCTTGCAGATGGCCGCCTTCTCGCTGCATCCTCACGTGGTCTGTTCTCTCTGTGTGAGCAGCCCTGGCATCTTTCCCTCTTTTTATGAAGACACCAGTCAAGACTGGATTGAGGCCACCCCAACTGCCTCATTTGACTCACCTCTTTAACGGCGCCATTCCCCAAATAGTCACAGTCCGAGACACTGGTGCATTGGACCTTCAACACATGAATTTTGAAGGACCACCCTTCAGCCCATTATAGCCTTTTAACTTACATCTTTCATTATATTCATTAAAAGATATTCATTATATCTTTTAATTTAATCCCCCCTTTTCTCCATTTTAATGCCGTTTTCTTAAGTTTCCTCTCTTTTCATGTATATTTAGTAGTTTTCTGATTCACGTGCATACACTTCTGATCAGTTCTCTCCAAAGCTAGCAGAATAGTCATGCACAGAGGAAAACTTCACCATGTTTTATTCTGCTTGAGCCCTCCACTGGCTCCCCAGCAGCCTGCAGGGTAATGCACGCTAGTGAACCATATGCTCACGGGGCTACACCTGTCTGCATGCCCAGTCCCCTCCCCCACCAGGTACACTCCCCCCGCCCCACCCCTCTGTTGTGGCCATAATAAACGACTTGCCGTGCAGGGCTTTTGCAAATTCTCTTGGCCTGAAATACCACCTCTGTTCTAATCCTGTCTGTTTACATGGTTGATTAATATATTGCACCAAGTGCCTCTCATTACCATCTTCTATGAAAGACATTAGCAGACTGCCATTTTCAACATTGTCTAAGTTAGCGGTTCCTCCTGGGCGCTCTCATAGATCACAGTGTCTGTTCACAAAGTGATACAGTGTAATTATTTCCACCTGGGGCCGAGAGGCGGCCTCGGAGCAGGGACTGTGTCTTGATTTATTCTTGTATCTGTAGTGTAGCCAAGTGCCTGCTCCTCTTAGGCACTCAGTAAATATTTGATACATAAATGAATGACTGAGTAAATGGGTCTATAAAAAATTAGCTAGAAGGAACATTTTTGTATATTATTGCAATCCTCCATTAACAGTACTTTAAAAGTTATCAATTATAATTAAAAATAAGCCATTAGGTTTTACTAAGAAAAAAGACAGTATAAAATGGCATAATGGTATAATATGACTATATATATCGCAAAAGACACTGCAAATTGATAACTGATATTTAAAAGTGCTTGGGGTTGGGTTTTTGTTTTTTGGTTGGTTTTTTTTTTGTTTGTTTTTTGTTTGTTTTTTTTTTTTTGTCTACAGGCAATGAATCTGTATATAATTTATTTCCTTTTCCTACATTCCTGCATTTTTCAAATAGCGTTAGTTCTATGAAATGTCCTATGGCTCTACTGATGTTAACAGATTTACCATCTTTTTTCTCAGCTTTCTGAAATTGTTCTCTCCTTTACATTCCCCTGTTTAGAAAATAGCAAGAGGTGTCTGCAACACATTGTCATGCAGCAAATTCATGTTTTCATGGGAACCAAAATCAACCAAGGAACCAGGCTGGGAGGATCTGGTTCTCCAACCCCGCTGTGAAATCTTCCTTGAGTCTTTCCTATCTTCCTCAGCTCTGGGCCCTGAGGACAAATGAAAAGTCTAATCTTTGATCAAGGGTTACTTCAAAGATAAAATTGCCTACTGTTACAGAGAAAGTCTTCCAAATGGCCACACCCCGTGGCTACAGAACAGCACGGGCCACCCGCGGCTCTCAGGCTGCATAGGTACAGGATGCAAGGCAAACGCTTGGGGAAGAGGGATTAAACCTCACTCAAAACCTCATTTCCATTGAAATTGCATCATGTAGAGTATTATCCCCTAAAAGTTTATTATTTTTCTATAGCTCTAACAAAACCAATATTGCCCATTAGGCAAACTTGTAGAATTGCTTTCGCTTAGGAGGCATGCAGAAAGGAACAGACGTTCTAACTTTAGGGGAGGGAGGAAATAACAATGGTGTGGTTTCCAGGAGCCTTCCTTCTGGTTTTCTTTCACAGACTGATTATCTCTGCGCTAGATAATACAGCTGTGGAGTTTCAGAGATGGAAAAAGTCCTACAGATTACCTGGTATACATAGCGTCATTTGGAGTTGAGGGAACTCAAGTTCAGAGAAGCCAAGAAACATGGGAACGGGACTCATTTTCCTTCCTGCGGGAGGCCTTGGAAATGAATTACGCACTTTTTTGCCCAATTTTTGGAGGGAAAAATAAGGATGCGCGTTATACATGGATAGTACCTAAAATACCTTGTATCTGTTCTTGTGTTTTATAATTTTTATAAGTATTTATGTAAAATTTCTTGTACCATAATATGTTCAGAAATAAATGCTAAAATTCCTTTATAATACAAAAAAAGTATCTACATATAAATAAATAAATAATTGAATTAAAAAATTAAAATGAAAGATTTTTTTCCCGAACGTTTGGGCCAAAAACATGGGTGCGCATTATACACAGCAAAATACAGTATCACTCAGGTTTGAGCTTCCAGTCATGCTTTTAGAAGCTCTTAGCAAGGTAGCAGCCTTAGCCCTGACCAGGGTGGCTCAGTTGGCTGTGTGTCATCCCACAAAGGGAAAGGCCATGGGTTCAAGTCACGGTCAGGCTCCGTGCCTGGGTTGCAGATTCCATCCCAGGTCAGGGTGCCTACTAGGGGTGGCCAATCATTGTTTCTCTCCCTCTCTTTCTCCCTCCCTCTCCTTCCCTCTAAAAATAAATAAGTAAAATCTTTTTTTAAAAAAGATAGCCATTTTAAAGGACAACAATCTTTTTGTTCACTTCAAAAGTTAGGTGTTCTCACAATCGAAAGCAGAGATTACCTAAAGCAATATATAGAGTAAGAAAGAAAATGGTTTAAAACAAAATTCTTGCCACACAATAAAGAGGAAAGAAAGCTTTTCTGTCAGTGGTGGGTAAACAGCAGGGGGATAAGGAAAAAGCAGGGAGAGGAAAGAGAAATACAAGAAATGAGATTGAGGTGAAAAAGAGAGTAAGAGAGAGAAGGTGGGGGCAAGAGAACAAAGCAAAATCCCAAGGTCCCTATTCTCCATCCGCCTTCTGTGTGGGGTCAAAATCCCAAGAGCAGGTGGAACATAGAAATACCCAGATCATTTCAGGGAAACGGGACAGGGAAACAGGTAGGACAGGTAGGAGGGGAGTGTGACAGGAATCTCTTTAAAGAAAGGGATGATAAATATTCCTATACATGTCCTCTATCGGCTCTCGCCAGTAAACCTTCTACCTGCTCCCTTCTTAGCTTTTGACTCATGTCTAGACTTAGTAACCCTGATCTGTGGTTACCATCTGTTCACTGAGCGTTGAAATGATTCACCAGCTTCTGCATGCAATTGTATCGTTACACCTTATGTTTCAAGCTCCGAAGAAGCGTTCCTTGTGGAAATGCTGCACAGGTCTGGAATAAATGCTACTGTATCCAATATGTAACTCATTCTTCTGAACTGAAAAAGTTTCAGGATATTTATAGGGACCTTTAGAGCCAGGTGGCTGGAAATATTCCCTCCTGAAGTGCATTAGCTCATGGGAAATAATGTATTCTGTGGACGCAAATGAGCTACCTGTACAACCTTATCTTGGGTCTCACAGAGATTTTCCAATTACCGGCAGCACGTGGTCATGTGAGCACATAGTGCTTTGCTGGCACAATCCTGGGGGTGCTTTCACCTTTTGGCCTTATTACCTGTCCTGAGATCCTCCTGAGAAGCTGTAGGTGCTGAGGATAGCAAGGGAGGACAGGAAGGGGAGCCTGTAATAAGAATGTGCCATGTCTGACTGTGCGAATCCTACAAGTTTTCATTGACCTCAGTCCCTTTGAAGACTCGAAAACCTGGAGAAGCTTTCTTCTCTTTGCTCTTCCTGCACCTTGCACCTCGCTTCTCCCATGCATTCCCTGGGCCTTCCCGCAATCCATAGGCTACCACCG